TCATACTAAACCTAGTTAAGTGAGATATTCAATAAAACTCAGCAAATCGCAATATCTTAATGACAATCATGTATTGGAAGATGTAGGTTCCAGTAATTGTCAATGGTATGTTGTTTATGTTGTTGTTATGAAATTATTGCTAAAACTGGATGACAAACCTTCAGCCATCTGTTGTACACAATGTAATAAGCATTATTGTTTCAGTTTTTGTTTTTAATTCACTGATGTACAAAAGAAACTTAGCTTTTTTAAAATAATTATTTTTTTTGTTGACTTAACAATTGAACTTTTATCGGTTTATAACAACCCCCTTTTCAGGCTGTGAGAATCAAACTGTTGTGTTCGTATGTACTTTGTAGATAGCGTGGTCGACGCCCTTGGATTAAATAAATATACTTGTAATTTGTAATTCACACTTTTATTTATGTCAGCAAATGACATTCTGTATGTTCTGTCTTTGTAAGTCGGAACAGCACTTTGCAATGTTTAGAAGATATAACCGCAGAATACACCACCCAACAAGAAGCGAAACGTTTGTCGGTACCTTTGATGTTCGTAGGACAGAAATTTCGGAGGGAAAATGACAGTTAAGCTACACGAAGAAAAGTAATGAGGAACTCGTTCAAAACAGTAGTAAAGTTATAGTTACACTGAGAAACAAAGTAATTATTAAAACTAATGGTTTTTAAGTAGATCTGTTTTGTATGAATTGTATTTTTTTCTGTAAAATTTAATATAACCCATATATCAATTCTGTACTGATAAGTAAATAGGTCTTAGTCAAAAATATCGATTTGTTTTTTTTAACAAACAAATTAACATACTAAAAGTATTTTAGTACGTTATAACACCGATAAAAAGAGATTAAATTTAAGAGTTAATTTCAAAATAGAGATGAAAATCAGTCGATTTCTATTACTTTTTATTGATTTTTTAACATATTAAAATATGTATTTACCAAAATATGTACAATAGTATTATTCTTTTTTTTTGCTATTTAACAACAAACACGAAACAACACTTCTTAATACATAAACAAACTTCAGTTTTTATAGGTTGATAGATAAACTATTTAGAACATTGCGGATTCTCACAGAAATTTGAATTGCGAAAAAGCCTTTCGTTTCGCTTCTTGTTGGGTGATGTATTCTGTGATATAACACAAACATTAATTCAGGTATATTATGCCGGGTCCAGACCAAACAGACAAAACAAAAACATTCATGTTTCGCGACAAAGTGGCGACAAATCGAAAACATTTGTTGAAACATTTCTGAACAATTTTGTTTTGTTTGCAAATTTGAAAACTTTTTCAGATCCCGTCTCAGGTCGGTAAAGATCAAAAAGTCTGTGTTTTGTCTGTGTATTTGACAACAAGTTTTCGGCGCAGTGTGGACGCGTGTGCGTGCCAAAACGAGTTAATCAGTAGGAGAAATAGAATGTACAATTTTTATCAAAATTAAGTGTATTTTTCTGTTACTTAGTCTCAACACAAATGTTCACTCAACTCCATCCAACTCCAACCCACAACATTTGTACTCAAATCCACCCAGCACTGACACACAACATTCATACTCAAATCCTCCCAGCATTGACACACGTTCATACTCAACTCCTCCCAGCATTGACACACATTTATACTCAAATCCACCCAACACGCTACATTCATACTCAAATCCAACCAGTGCTGACCCACAAAATTATTACTTAAATCCACCAAACACCAACACACAACCTTTATTTTCGCATCTACCTAGTATTGACACAAAATTTCAAAAGGCTATAAAAATCGCTCTAGCACAGACAGAAGACTATAACAACATAGACTCAGCTTGGAAAAATATCAAAGTAGGTCTGACTAGGACACAAAAAGAAAACAACAAAAAAATGGTTCGATGATGATTGCCTGAACTCCATATTAGCAAGAAATATGTCTAGAAGGAACATGCTACAAAACCCCTCGCACAACAACAATGAAATGTATAGACAAAGAAGAACAGAGACAAGAAAACTAATGAAAAGGAAGAAGAGAGAGTATCAGGAATAAATAATCAGAGATATAGAAGAAAAAAGAAAGAACAAACAAGCGAGGCAGTTCTTTAAAGGAGTTTCAGATATCAAGACCGGGTACCAAGCAAAAACAGGAAACTTTCTTCAAAACGACAGTGGACAGCTTATCACTGATGACAAGGAAATCTTAAAAACCTGGAAGGAATACTTCTATCAACTATTGAATGACCAATCTAGCAGAAGTACATCAAACATAGAGGTACATACAGCTGAAATAGAAGACCAATACCCGACATACGAAGAAGTAATACAGGCAATTAAAAAACTCAAAAATAATAAGACACCAGGTAGCGATGGTATACCCGCAGAGTGCTTAAAACATGGAGGAGAAGCGTTGTACAGTTCGATATACAAGCTAATTCAAGACATTTGGCAAGAAGAAACAATGCCAGATGAATGGAAAGAAGGGGTTATTGTACCAATACACAAAAAAGGAAACAAAAAGCAATGTATTAACTACAGGGGAATAACACTCCTAAACACCACCTACAAAATCCTTGCAAACATCCTGCTAGAAAGAACCAAAACATACACAGAAGAAATCGTTGGAGATTATCAATGCGGATTTAGACCGGGCCGCTCTACAATTGACCAGATATTCACAATAAAACAGATAATAGAAAAATGCTGGGAGTTTGATCGTGAGCTTCATCAGATGTTCATAGATTTTAAACAAGCATTTGATAGAGTATGTAGGGACAGACTGTAGACAGCGATGCAGGAACTTGGCTTTCCAAAAAAACTAGTCCGGTTGATACGGATGTGTATGGAACGGTTACGATGTAAGGTGAGAGTTGGACAACAATACTCGGAGACATTTGAAATAAACAATGGACTAAAACAGGGAGATGCACTTTCACCACAACTCTTCAACTTAGCTCTGGAGCACATAATCAGAAGTGCAAGAATCGAAAAACCGAATACAGTATTTCATCTAGAAGGACCAAACTTACTACTGGCATTTGCAGACGATATAGATCTAATAGGAAACACGCGATTAAGGATGAAGGAGACTTTCGTAAGGTTTGAGAAGGAAGCAGAGAAGATGGGGCTCCAAATCAACGAAAACAAGACGAAATATATATATATATGAGCCGCAATAACCAAAGCAGAGACAGAATCGGTCAGAACATTACCATCGATGACTTTAACTTTGAGCGCGTTAGAGAATTCAAGTATCTTGGAACAACAATAACTGAAGACAATAACGGATCACAAGAAATAAACAACATCATTCAAGCCGGCAACAGATGTATTTTTGCCCTCCAAAACCTTATAAAAACAAAACAACTAACACGACGTACGAAGATACAGGTCTATAAAACAATCATACGACCCGTTGTGATGTATGGAAGCGAAACGTGGACGATAACAAAGGCAAATGAAGAGAGACTACGTGTTTGGGAAAGAAAAATCCTAAGGAAGATCTTTGGTCCGGTGCTTGATGAAGCATCAGGAAAATATAGGATAAGAACTAATAAAGAGCTTGAAGAACTTTACCCAGACGCCAACATCATAAAAGAAATAAAGTCCAGAAGACTCCAATGGGCAGGACACCTCAGAAGACATTCTGACGAACGAACAGTAAGACTGGTGTGGTAGGAAGTCCCAACTGGAAGGAGACCACGCGGACGCCCTCGTCTCCGGTGGCGAGATAATATAGCAGGAGACCTAAGCACTATGGGCGTGGAGAATTGGATGGAGGTTGCTCAAGACAGAAAACAGTGGAGGCATGTTGTCGAGTCGGCTAAAACCCACGAAGGGTTATAACGCCACGGATAAGTAAGAGTAGTATTGACACAGAGCTTTCTCAGTATTCAGATCAAGAAAACGAACGAAATTGATGATGAACTTTTTGAATGTAAAAACAAGTAGACTCGTCATTATTTTGCATGTAGTATGTACCTATCGTCAACTTCTTTTGTATTAAACATTTAACCAATAAATATGGAGTTTATTTTAAGGGATATTAACAGAAAAATAGTAATGAAAAAAGTTTAACATACCTGTACATAACCACTAAGACTGTTAATTAAAGCTTTACATACTTCAGGTATTATTACAGATATTGATTGCTTTGATACTTTTGAAAGATACATTAGGCTGTGGTAGGAATCACCTGTTTCTAAAAATCTTAAAGTGATTGCTAACCTTTCTGTTACACTCATAGCATTTCTAAAATTAGTATGTCTTTTTGCAACTGCAGGACCAACAAGACATATTAGATTCTCAAAATCTTCGGTGGACATTCTTAAAAAATGTTTGAAGCTTGATCGAATTTCACCACTTAGTCCAATATCATCTGCTCGCAGCTGAACTAACAATTTGTCTATCGAACAACTTTCTCGCATTTTTAGGCTTGGTCTAATCAAAAAACGTTTGGGTTTTCTTTTAGCAACCTGGGATGATGATGAGAGCAAAAAAAAAACTTGCGGCTAACAATAAATCTTCAGTTTCATTTTTTTCTTGATTAAAACTCCACATGATTACTCAACACTAATCATAAGAACAACGTCACCAACTGAATTTGTTTTTATATTTTGTTGTTCTGGTGTGGACAGTTTGTCTCAATTTTGTTTTGTCTTTTGACGACAAATTTTGTCGCCGGTTTATCGTGTTTTTGTTTCAGAATTGTGTTTTCGTTTTGTCTGCTTGGTCTGGACCCGCCATTAGAAGCCAAAGGTAGTGTGTGTTGCTTACAATCGTCTACTTTTGAACTTCATTAACTGTACATTATTATGAGAGACCAAAGTTGCTTTGCGTGGCAATTTGTAATGTATGAGAATCAATGGTTGATTCTCGTGCCTATATTTATATTACCTTTGCATCACGTCATGCTTCTCATGGCAGTCAACCTGATAACATGGTCTTATGTGATTATAATGTGCCATTTGTTTATCTAATAGTTTATTAAATAAATACTTTTTCAGGTATACCGATTGAAGTATCTCCCATGGCATATGTTCCAATCAGACGTAAAATTGAACTAACTTTTGGGGGTAACGTACAACTCAGAGAAGCTGTTATGAAAGCAGGACCTGTAGTAACTGACAATGGCAATTTCATTCTAGACTGGAAAGATTTCAACCAGGATTATGACTGGAGGATGGTAAATACCGAGCTTCTACAGATACCTGGTGTTGTAGAAACTGGCCTTTTCGTTGATATGGCAGTAATGGCATACTTTGGAATGCCAGATGGATCTGTAAAAGTAATACAAAGCCCAAGAAAAGCTGCTAATGGCATTAATGGAACTAATGGCTTTTAGTTATAAGGTTATTACTATATTGAGAGGTTAAGAATGGTAGTTTTAAGGGAATTAGTTGAATTCTTTCAACATTTGGATAAGTTTCAGTAAACTTAAGAACGAAAATAAACAATATTGTTTTTTAAATTAAATAAATAGGTATATTCATCTAGTAAACTATGTTTTATTGTTTTCTCAAGAAACACATTGATTGTGATGTCATTATACAGGTTCTTAAGGGGTTACATAAGTCTTGCATTTGCAAAAAATCGTTTTATTTATTTATTTTTTTTTTTTATGTGAAAGTATAGTACTTTAAGTGTATTCACATAAAATTTGAAGTAAATTCGAGCAATACATGGACGTATAAATAAAGATGGATTGGGCATGCCCTGCACTCTGTTCGCCTAAATTTGAAGTCGAAAAGTTTATAGGCGCGGGGAAAGAGGCGAGGTGATAGACTGTGACATTACCGTTTAAGTCATCGGCGTACCTTCCAATAATTGAAAGGTATTTGAAACAGTTTTTTCATTTGCATAAATAATATTGGTTTGATTGCTTTTATTTTTATTATCGTAAACATATAAAATATTTCGAATAAGTGAGAAACAACGAACGATAGTAATTTTAATTTTCAGTGTATAGAAATAAATATATTTATAAAAATTGATTTACACAAAAGAATAAAGATGGGGTAAATAAAATCGCAAAGTACTTTATATAATATTTTATTTAAACTAAAATAATACACAAGCAATAAAAAGTTTAAAAAATTCTTCCCCAAACATTAACCTGTTCAGTGTATTGAGTATGTTCTTCTCTTATCCAGTGAGTGATACGTTGAAAAAATGTAGTGAATTATGGTTTATAACTCCAGATTAATTGTTATTTAGCAACATTAGAAGTCATGTTAGACATAGCAGTAGGCAGAAGAAAGATAAAAGTTCAGGAATATGTATTTAAGAAAATATTAATAAACGTAAGAAAACATAAACTATTGTTTAACAAAACATGAACAACAAACCACATATACAACAATATATAAACACATTAAACCTTATGGATGGGGTAGGTTTCTAAAATAGCAATATGTTTTATTGTCACTGAAAATTGTACAATTTTATGAACAAAACTTACAAAAAGTAAAAAAAAATGACAATAACAATTAAAATTTACTAAAATTACAAAAATGGTCAATGTCATATAATAAAAGATAATAAAATTTACAATTCATTGCAAAATCTAACTAAATTGCAAATTGCATAATAAAACCTTGGAAGTAGTTTACGAATAAGTTTTAGTTGCTGCATTTGATACCCAAATATATAATACTTTAGTTGCTTGTACCTAAACGTACTGTAATTTCTTAATTTCTCGTTAAGAAACTCTTCCACTGAATAATATGGTCTTTCAGATAGATAGGCTTTTGTTAATTTACAGAACTTAAGGAAAGAAGTTGTAGATTTAAGTTGCAAAGGGAATTAATTGTATAATTTTTTTGCCGAATATAATATAGATTTATTTACTAACTCAGTGGACGAAATCGATAAATACATATCAAAGGTTGAATTTCTGGTGGATAATTCATGATTGGGTCTTGCTGAAAAAACATGTAGGTGTTTACCAATTAAGAAAACAGTTTCTAGAATATACAAAGAGGGAAAAGTTGAAATCCCGTGATTTTTTATGTAGCTTCTAAAATGTATTATTTTACTGAGGCCAAAAGATACCGTGTTGCTCTTTTTTGTAATTTAAAAATAACATTATATTGGTAGCTGTACTAGAACCGCAAAAAGGAAGGCCATATCGAAGATGAGACTCGAACAAAGAAAAATATGTTATTTTGGAAGATGCTAAATTCAGCTTCGAAACAGATCGTATTGCATAGCTGGCTGAGATTAGTTTCTTACTTAACAAATCGATATAAAGGAACCATTTAAGGTTGCTGTCTGTAAAAATACCATGAAATTTTAAATAAACAACGATACTGATCTGGCTGTTATTAAGAAGCAAGGGTTGAAGAGCTCCTTTATAGGATAATGCTACTGTCTTATTCATGTTAAAAGAAAGTAAATTATAGTCGGACCAGGTTTTTATTTTAAGTTGATCAGAAGTTTTAATTGCATGAAACGCTAAATATAAGAAAAAGTAGAGGACCCAGTACTCAATATTGCGGTACTCTACATACATGCTTTTGTGTCTAGAGTCAGTATTATTTGCTCTAACTGCTTGTTTCCTATTTCTCAAGCAAGATTGGAACCAATTCAAAGAAATACCTCGAATTCCGTAGAAATTTAGTTTTTTTTATCAAAATGTCGTGAATTACACAATCAAAAGATTTGGCATAGTCTCAAAAAAACAGTGGCAGCGTAAAGATTATTGTTTAGTGCTTAATAGACCTCATGTAGTACAGAAAACATAGCATCACTGGTACATTTATTAGATAAAAAGCTGAACTTACTTCGTGATAAAATGTTCATTTCAACAAAAAAGGACATAAGTCGGGCTCTTATAAATCTTTAATCATTTTAGATAGGATGTAATTTTTGTTTTCATTCTTCTTACATATTGTTGTAAATACTTTATTTTACTTTTTTGACTCTTAACAGTATTTTTTAACACTCTAAAATGTTTTTTGATCCTTTCAGGTGTTGAAAAATCGCTGCTAGACATGTCTTCAATGGTTTTATTTCTAAAACATATAATTAGGTTTTCATAGTTATAATACTTGTTTTTATAAATTAAACTAAGAACTCACTTTTTATAAATATTACGTGGAACATATGAAAAAGTATTATCACCAAGTAACAACTCTACAGTTTCAGTTTCTGATGCTGTAATGGTGCTCGAAGGTGCATTTTCTATATCTATACTTTCCTTGTTTTCTTCATTGTCATTTAAACATCTAGAATAATCAATTTATGTACATTAAAGAAAAATATTAAAATTGGTTTAAGATTGAAATAATCTTATACAAAATTTATCCAAAACTCACCTCCTTTTTAGGAGAATTAGATTTTACATTAAGGCCCAAGTCTGTCTCCATATTACATTTTTCAGTATCAATGAAACTCCTAAAATACTGTGAGTAATTTTAATATTAAAATGAAATAAGTAATTAAAATCCACATTTAGATTTATTTGTAAATTTAATTAACAAATTCGATCCAAACTCACCTTTTTAACGGTCCATAAAAATCATCCATATCAATACTACTGGAAGTTGTTTCTTTATTTTCCATATCGTTTGGAGAACTGAAACATTGAATTAATATGCTATGCGTGTGCATTATATTTCTTATACTCTGTATAGTAAATTACATAGAAATTCATTATAGTTACCTTAGTTCTGATGATTTATGATAAATATTTATTGGAACAATTCCTTTCCTCATATTAACCCGTCCACTTGGTTGTATAATTAAATCATGCTTTCTAAAGTGTTCTGAGCAGACCATAGCAGTTTTGGTTACTTGTTCTTTATTTAAGCCGAACATAGACAACCACATATCTAGCAGCTGTTGATTCTTTACTGGGAACCTGCATATGATATTTCTTTGAAATTAATATATTTATAGCAATTATAGTGTAGATTAGAAAAAATAAATAAATGTATTTATAATACGACAAGATTTACTTAAAAAAAAATCAAAGAAGCGGCTCTAATTATGCTAAATGAGGCCAATTGTGTCGCAAATTCCTCGGCAGAATGTAGTAGGATCTGGTTACCAATATTAAAAGAGGAAGTTATTAATAAGAAAATACCAGTATTAGTAAGTCAGTAACATATAGAGGATACATCATTTATGTTTTTTAAATAACGTAACATATAAAATCAGAATTTTGATGTTTGTTGAAGGTAAACTAAATTCACGAACAAATACTTACAATGTCGGGATAGTATTATGAGGTTTTTTTCCTGGTTTTCCCTCATAATTTATTATGGAATCACTAACAGGGAATTTTACTGTCATCATGTCATGTGTTTGTCTTTTTAAAGACGAATTACATGCTATGATTTTTTTCTGACGGATATTCTCAAGTTAAAGTTGATTTCATGTAATCGAATGAACTATCTTATAAGTAAAGTCGTCCCAGGAGCGCAACTCAACAATATTGGCAATATCATTTTAAAGTCATCTACTTTAAAATGCATAATGTATGTCTGAATTGTCAATATAAATGAGTCAGATAAAATTAAATTATTAGAAGAATTTTTCACTATGTAACAAAAAACAAAATTTGTTTAATTTACTGTTTGTATTTTGAGAACGATTTCCGAAGTGGAAATTGAAACGTCAATAAACGTATTTTTATCTTTAATTGTGGCTTATTCCCAGTTTAATAGTAATTAAGGATTTACTTTATTTCACAAAATTTAATTTCAATTCATGTGAAGAATTAAGTAATATCACATCCCTGTACTACGCTCATGAACGTAATTCCAATGTTTACTTACGAACGAACTTTACTTATGACAGTTCAGGATGAAAATATTAACAAATTCACTAAAATGATACAAAAAAGGAAATTATCAACTCAAAGGTAAACAGTACAACGCCATATTCCTTTTCGTCAAATCACTACGATTGGTTAATATTACTAATAATGCCAAGTTTTACATAAAGTTAACATTATCAGAATATATTTTCTTTTAATAAATTAAAAAATTAATGTTTTTCTTTTAATTCCTTGGTTGCGAAATGAGTATATCTAAAAATAGTTTATAGTAACTAAATAATACATTTTTATCTATAAATTAAAATTAAATTATACTAAAAATCGAAAATTATTTCGAAGCTTCGCTTGGAAAAAAAATAATATGACAACGTCAATTGTGTCTATGACGATCTCATGGCTTCATGTACAGATGTAAATAGCCCGGTCCTTCTTTATTTATACGTCCATGGAGCAATATTACCGAAGTTAGAGATTTGAATACCGCGCGATCGATACGTGCACTCTTAGTTTAAAAACTTCAAACGCGTTTTTCTCGAAACTTTGTTTTTCCGTGCGGTAGGCACGATTTCTCGAGAACGAATCGACCGATTTTGCTAAAACTTCGCACATTTCAACTTTGTGGCATTGTTTCGTGATTGAACGAAGGAATTTCCAATTTGTCGACTCGTTTTTATTTTATATGAAAAATATGTTTTTAAAATGACAAGAATCGG